TAATCCTTGAAATTTCTGTCACCATTGTCGATATTTTTGGCAATATCTGGACCAATATTGGTGAAATAATTATTAAAACACTCCGCTAACTCCGTTGGATGTGAAATTTGTCCTCTCTGTGTTTCAAGACAATTTATTTCTCTACTTTTTTGTTTACGGTTTAGGATTTATTCACAGTTTTCCATGCTTGTTTGGGATCATGTTTGACTTTCTTAAATTCTCCTTTCTAATATGCTGCTTTTGTTTCTTGCAATGCATCAGTTACGCGATTTCTAGAGGTTTTGTATGCGTTCCAGTAATTTTCGGATTTATGTCTAATAGCAAGAGATTTAAGGCGATCGCGTTTGCGGATTTGTTTTTTAATTGTACTAGTGAGCCAAGGAACATTCGGTTTACTTTTAACTCTCTTTTCCCTGATTGGGGCATGCCTATCAAGAACTTGTATGAAAAGTGTTTTCCATGTGTCCCACATCTTATCAACGCAGAGATTGTTATCTAATAATTCCCATTCCTGACCACGCAGGTCAGCTTGAAAACTGTCAGCATTAAAATATTTTAAATTACGGTCAGATTTTCCAAGGAAAACTTCCAAAGTCAGTCAAATTATTTAAAAATATTACTTAAGTATATTGATGTAATTTTGTTTACATTCAAATTTTCAATTTCAGGACTTTATGTAACTCAGGTTAAATCAATCGTTTTCAACCTCTTTTTACATACCGTGGCAGTGGCATATTCCTTTCGGAAAGGAATTTGGGTCGCTCGTGCGTGAAATCTGCCGTTCCGCCCGAAAAACTGCCTTTCCACCCGGTATTAATTTCTGATCAGTTCACCCGAACAAAATCGCATCCATCAGAAATATACTGTAGCTTGATCTCCAAATATGCGGCATTCTGATTGGTTTGCTATGGTCAATCGAAGCAAACCAATCAAAATCCGGCAAATGCTACAGTTTGCTACGGTGGCCAACATTTAGCCACTGCTTTTGGCCGATGTGATCTGTGTTCAGTGAATAACACGCTAGCTTTTCTTCAAAGTAAGCATGGCTTCGACTGATCCTCTTGATGAGCTTCTTTGTATTCTGAATGAAAAGCTTTCATTCGCAGAGAAGTCCAGTAAATTGACCGCTCTGAAAAATATTTGTGAGCAGATTATTGTGAATGAGACGAAGAAGAAAGCAGATCGCAAAGTATTCGTGTGCGAATTTTCTCAACTGCAATTCCCGAAAAGTGAACAACATATTATATTAAAGATATGGCGACAGTGCAGTAAAATACAGTTTAGAATTCCAATAGTCAAATTTGTAGGGATGCAACTACCTGAGAAAAATATAAGGTAGTTGCATCCCTATCAACGAATATTATATATTATTATTATCACTACTTACATGTACACTGACTGTCACTGGCACAGAGAGTTAAAAAAATAATCAAATGAGGTTGTTTGTTTTCAGCTGGTAAACGCAGCCCTGGTACCGATATGGTCCATTTCACCGGGATGTGGTGTTAAGTTTGTGATTTGCTATAATGTTTGTAATCTTAACCCCAAACCCATGGCTCTCCCTTGATGTCAAGTGAAATCCTGAAGGCTGCCTGTTGTGGTCAGATGGCTATAGAGAAATTCCCGGAGATATTGTTATACTGATTACCTGGGATACCTGCCTCCGCTGATTTTTATTGGCCATTTTATTGCTCACTATCTCTCGACTACCTTCCTATAACTTTAAGCAGGTAGTGTGTTTACATCGCACCACTGGAAATTTTGTGAAATTATATTGAAAAAATTAACAAAGTAGGCTGCATTAGGAAAGGACACAGTAGGGCACATTCAGACTGTTGATATCTATTAGCACCTCCAGTCACAATTAGGATTGACTTTGCAAGGGTTGAACATACAGTTCAAAGGCCACAGTACTTAAATATAATATTAACCCATTGAGTTGCATTGCACCCTGATGCAGCCTACTTTAAGATTTTACTCTGTCTAACACCAGAAGATTTTACTCTGTCTAACGCCAGACGATTTTACTTGTCAAGGGGAGAGTGCTGGTGCTTAATGGGTTAACTGGCCTATCTGCCCATGTGTCTAGTTAACCCATTGAGTTGCATTGCACCCTGATGCACCCTACTTTAGTATTTTACTCTGTCTAACGCCAGGCGATTTTATTCATCAAGGGGAGAGCGCTGGTGCTTAATGGGTTAAATATAATGGGTTAAATATGATGGGTTTCTTAGGATGCAATCTTATGACAATTCCTTTGAAGGTGCCATGTGTTCATTGATGTTGATTCACATGAAGGCATGTCAATGTGTAAATAAAATAGGAGTACCCCTCAATCCTAAATTCACCTTCTTGAATCTTGATATTCTGTACTATTAAGTATCTGTGTCTGCTTATTGTAGCTCAAACATTGCACTTACCATGTTCATAACCCAGTGCAAATGACATAAATCTAGTGATTGCACTCATCCATGTCTGGTTTGACACATGAAAACTTCAACATTTGAATTTTGCCTTAATCTTAAATGCATAACTAGGGTGTATAATTTTATTTTTATTTTACTGTGCTGAATATCAAAGTTTTTTCTCAGATGAGTACTGTAGATGAGTACTGTACTTAACACTTGCCCAAGTGAATACAGCATCATGACGGGCAAGTAAACCCTTACATGACGGGCAAGTTGTCCTCTTATTTTATACTCCCTACCTCGGTACCCCGGTGGCCATTGTCTGATTGCAAGTGAATTTTATTCAGGGCAACTAATTTTCATGACCAACTTGCTCTGAGGGCAAGTGCTAAAAAAAGTAAAGTTACACGATTGATGAGGTGCACACTTTTTGATTATGGGTGCCCTGGAGGTATTAGAAAGGTCAACATTAGTATTCTGTACTCATTACTTTCTTACTTAAATTATCCCTGCAGCCTAATATCATATGACTTGTTTGATATTTGATATTCAATTCAATGAGGGTGAACATTCATAAACCAACCAATAAATAACTATTTCAGCATTGATACTGATACAAATTACCATTAATGGGCTGACATGGTTTTCTGTGTTCACCCCCTTTTAGGACAACAGGAGATGGAAACTGCATGTACAATGCTTGTTCCATTGCATTGTGTGGCAATGAGACCCTTGCACCTTACCTGCGTTGTCTTACAAGCATTGAGAGCTTTTTGTAAATTCTTTGTTTTATGTAAAACACAGGTGCATTTTCTTGCATTGCAAATGCTTTTGCAATGTGCCTATCCGATATAGCTCTGGATTTGCTTGCTAAGGACCATCTTAGTAAATCTGTTGTAACCGAATCATACAACAATGCATTGAATCGCCAGTGGAGCTCGTTCCTTTGCCTTCTTGCATTGTCAAGTGCAATAAGCCTTCCAATTGAGGCATACTTTCCCATCCCAACAACAAATGAAAGCACCTCCGAAGAGAAGAAAGATTCTTTGTCAACAATGTTTAATTGCACTATTCAGCCACGAGTAACAACTAAATTGAATTCTGATGAGAGGATTCACATTTTTCGGTGTGCACTGATGCCAATAGATTATTCTGTGGTGAGTAAAATTCCTGCATGTAAAAACTATTACGTTGCCCTTTGTAAGCCAAAAGACAACATCAGTGACCCGACCTGCATTCAGACGTTTTTTATAAGCCTGTTCTCTCCGGTATTGATGCAAGTTCGACCGAAATAAGGAAGACCCCTTCATATGCTGGAAAAATATCACAGACATTGTCTGCTCCCCAACCCTCATCTGGCCATCAACCTTCATCCGCTCTGCAACCTTCATCTTCTGGTACACAAAAAGTTTTAAAAAAGCGAGCTGTTCTTGATAATTTATTTCCAAAGAAAATAAAGTTCGCCAAGCAAACTGGTGATGAAGAGGCTCAAATTCATAACCAACAACCGAAGAAATGGCCAAGCAGCTCGCTGGTACAAAAAGACATTCCCACAGACATTGCCAATTACGCGAACGCATCCTCGTTAACTGATGAACGAAAGTACCACGTTCTTTGTATTGTTTGGAGACCATCGGCAACGTACACGTTTCCATTGGACAACGACAAAAGAAAGTTCCGTTTTGAATGGTTGAACTTATTCCCGTGGCTTGCGTATTCACAAAAGGTGGATGGAGCCAAAACTATTTTGATTCACAACCTCTACATTGCAATTAATCTAGGACACTTGTGATTTACAGGTGAAAATGTTTCAAATGCTGTCGAGCTGTATGTCTACTTCAACGTGATTTAAAAGTCAGTATTTCTCGAACTTGTTTTGTACTATACTATTTCAAGACGACTTACAATGACCATTTACTTAACTTCCTTTGTGCTGCTGTTTCAAGATTATCTACGTTGAACATTTACTTAACTTCCTTTTTGCTGCTGTATCAAGATGATTTAAAGTGAACATTTACTTAACTTCCTTCCTGCTGCTGTTTCAAGATGATTTACAGTGAACATTTACTTAACTTCCTTTTTGCTGCTGTTTCAAGATGATTTACAGTGAACATTTACTTAATTAACTCAATTCGATCCGCCAATATTAATTTCCGACGTATATGACGGGAAGATTAAATATTAAAGAACTTCGCGAGTATTTGCAGTAGACATACGAAAATACCACCAAAAAATTCCGCTTGATTGATACTATATATTCAGAAATATTCATATAATTTTATTGTTTCTCGCTCAATTTCAAGCGAATTTCTTACCTTGAAATGATCAATGCGGTGAAATTTATGCAAATGACACATTATCAATTTTGCAGTTGCATTTTGAATGTTCCGCCTGATTCAAATGCTCGTCTTTTTGCTTCTTTTGCACGTATAATAATAACAAATATACCAAAAGAAGCGCCATCTTCCATTCTATAGCTCGGAGCAGTCTCGGGAAATTGCGAAATAATCTAAGCCTATTATGGCAATTCTCGTGATCGGAAAGTGTTCGGCCAACTTCGGACGCCAAATTCTTGGTAAAGCATTGCAGTTTCCTGGTAAAAGACTGCAGGAATCACTTCCGGAGTGTTTGTTTACCCTAGATACGAATTTTGATTGGCTTAGGCAGAAAAACAAATCTTTTAGAGCAATTTTCCTGATTATCGCGCACGGGAACGCACGAGCGTTGAAATGTATTGTGTTGTAGTTTTGTTTGAATCGCATTCTGAAGACGTTTTTGGCTTTATTTTGCAAACTGATAGTGCTAGTAATGATGGAATGTCTTCGTATGAAGACAAGTATCTCAACCTGGCATTGGGAGTCGTGTCTGGAGTTTCAAGGCAAGTATTTGTATCATTTCTAGACAATTTCAATGTTTTGCCGTTGCCATGGCGTTGTAAATTTATTTGTATTTAGTATAGCTTCACTAGTACGACCAAGTATGTCCTCATATCGCTTTTTTGTGTTGAAATAATCGTTTCATACTGAAATTGACAAATATAAATGGTATTTATTTATATTGTTGACGAAAATTTATGGTGTTTTAGGCATAAAAATCTCTGATTCCTAGGCGAAGTAAAATGAGCCTTGAGCACATGTTTGGTTGTTTGTTACATACATAATAGCCAAGTATTCATACTTATATCTTACTAGTTGGCTCTTTTTATAATTTTATATGGCACCATGTCTATAAAAGTTTTTATTCGCACTGATGAATATATTGATCCTGTTCCTATCTGCTGTTCCTGTTTCATAGCCTCAGGGAAGTAGAGTTCTGATGAGTCATGAGAACCCCACTCACCAACCCAGAGGGAAGGTAGGGGGATGAGTAGAGGTAGAGGGAAGCCCAGCCATTAGGACCTAAGGTTTCGAAAGCTACCTGTCTAGCATCCCCACTAGGCCCCATAGTACATGACGGATATGATGATCCTGACACCAGGAATGTTCTCCCAGATTTTGCTCCTCACTGACATGTCCAGGATCCATTTCGATCAACTGTGAGCTTGAGTTCATTCGGCTCAATGAACTGTGAGCTTGAGTTCATTCGACTCTTTTTTACTAAGGGAATGCTTCAGGAGGTAGTTTCCTGGCCATACCAATACATATGCCCACATACAAATAACTCAAAAGTTATCCCCATATACTAATAAAAAAGGGTCTTGCAGTCCACCAACCTTGAGAGGTTGATTGCCTTTTAGTATAATATGCAGGTTTGCTAAAGGTCGACAGTGAGATTGAAAATTATTGGAGTGTAAAAACCTTATATCATGGTCTGTGGGCAATAGACATAATTTCTCGGGTTAGATACAAAGCGCTTATGGCGTTTGTGAATATGGTAGATCCTGTACTAAAGACTACAGCAATA